TTATTGCCTTCACTGCTCCTCTATTTATACAAGTCTAGGATTACAAAGGATAAAAGAAAAAGAACATTTTCCTATACAAGTGTCTAAAGGCTACTGCTTAGGAAAATAACAACCTAACGTAATTGTACTATTTCTAATCCTATCTATACAGCTGTAAGGGAATTTAATCAGATGGCCAAGATATTTCTAGCACATTGTTCTCTTAACTCACACATGTACAAATAATTTAGTTTTGGAGGCAAATTATTTGTGCCATTTTGAATTGTTTCTGTCATCTCCTTCACTCATTCAGGTGACATAATTTTATGAGAAACACCATTTTCAACAGAACACAACACAAGAATAGACAAGAAAGTAAATGAATGCATGCATTGATGATTTTGTTAATAACATTTGAATCCAGCGTTAAGTAGAAAACAAATGTCCTTTAACATAAAGGTCAACTCTTTTTATATGGGTCAATTTTCACAATTTAATGTCCAAGAATCATTCTCTCTTAATTTACATTAAATGACATTAATTGTAAATGAGTAAATTCTAGCATTGTCTTCGAAAACTATCTGTCTTAGGTATAAGTTTGGAGTTATGCCCTCAGACATAAGTTCTATGACATAAGTTATGTCTTAGGTATAAGTTGAGTGAAATAAGTTTTGTTCCTCCTCTTGTCTTCCCGTCCTTGTAAGGACTCTGGAATCTAAAGCAGTCTTGCAGAAGTGGTAATCCCTAAAGTAAGACTCTTCGGCATCGCAGTCATTTGAATGCAAGAGAAATTAAGTTCAAGATACAAGTTTAGTGACCCAAATTATGCCTCAAGACATAAGTTTAGTGACACAAATTATTCCACGAGGCATAGTTTAAAGGAAAAACTACAGAATATGGTAAACATCCCTGTATATTCAAGAAAAATAGCTACGTTTTATTTTTTCATGATATATGGATATAACTACACAATAAATAGCAAAGTTAATTATATACGAATAAATATCTTTTTATATAAATATTAAATAGGAAAGTTATTATTGAATGCCTAATTAATTATGGCAGACACATTTTACGTGATCTTTTCCCAATGTTTACCATCATCAACTTTTTCTCTTTCATCAATATTCATGTATCATATATTTTCTGATTTTTGTCCCCAAATTTATTCAAATTCAAGATTCTTTTACATCATTCTAGGAGCGATTTTTGTGATTTGTATCCATCAGGTATCTTCTAATTGCATCTTTATCTCGTTATTATGAATATTATATATCTACACATCTATATTTTCATCTATTTTCATAGGATTTTGATTCAAAAATTTGTTTATCCATTTCAATGGCTAAAATTGCTACAAGTAGGGTTACAAGAAGTATACATTTATTTGACAAATTTTTGGATGAACTACCTTCTTTTGATTTGTGTATTACTCCACAATAAGCCAAAATTTCAGGCTCTGTTGTTGCAATGGAGAACAAAAGAAGAAAAAAGAAGGTTAATGACCCTATACGCTTAAATCTGCTTGAAGAATCGAACATGCAAAATTAGTAAAGAGGAAAGATGATTCAGAACCTTTAGAAGTGAAAACTAATCTTGAAAAAGGGAGAAAAGTCAACAATCTTGATTCAAGTGGATGTGAAAAAAGAGCAGTCGAGCAGGAACAAGAGTAAAATGAGATTGAGGTTTGTATATATGCTTTATTTTTTTAGTTTAATGTCATTTACCTATATACCTCAAACACATGTATTGTGTGACATTGTTATTATGGATTGTCCTCTTATATTGAAATTGTTAAACAGATTGATTTCACATGTATATAGTTGTTAAAAAATGAGTACAAGAAGAACATGAACAAAAAAGATATTGAGGGTTCTCTAATTGTTACTTTTGTATATAGTAGAATACTTATATACATTGACATTTGTATTATTATATAAGCACAAGTTGAAATGTTGATCTATTGAATACCCGAATACATAAGTACTCTATCAAATTTAAAAAGTTGATTAGGTAATTCAAGTATAGTTGGATACATTAATATTATAATTTTATAATAAAATGCTTGAGTTAACACAAAACCTCAAGTATTACAGGAAAAAAATTGATCGAAAAATGATTGACGTTTGTTGGCATTTTCAAATTTTTATATAGAAGAATTCTTATACAGTTTGATACCCACAAATTGTATCTTGTTTCTCGTTTGTCTAATGTATCCATCATTTTGTTTAACTACAGTGTTGAAATGTATCCATCTTTATGTACATAGATACTTATATTGTTATATAAGCTCAAGTTGAAATGTTGATTTACGAATACAGTTATATCTGGATACATAAGTTCTCTATCCAATATAAAAACTTGATTAGGGAATGCAAGTATAGTTGAATACACTAAAATTGCATTTCTATAATAAAATTCGTGAGTTAACACCAAACCTTAAGTATTACCGAAAAAAATTGACCTGAATACTTATACAGTTTGATACCCACACCTTGTTTATATATCTAGTTTAATTTGTCCAACATATTCATTTTTGTGTTTAACAGCAGTGTATTCACTGTATTCTATATTGGTGTATTCATTTTTGTTTAACAACTAGTGTATTCATTTTTCAAATTTTCGCGATCTTATCCTAAATTTATATACTTACATTGTTTGATATATTGATACATTAAGTTTTAATAAATGAATATATTAATACTTTGAGTTTTATATGCTAACTGTACACTAATACATTTTTCATTTGTAGGATATTGATTTATCACAACATATCAATGTGGTTCTCTATTACTTGCGTAAAAAAAGCAAGTACAACGTTAACAACTTATACAAATAGACAATTGTTGATTGTTTGTTCAAGACAAAGATTACTAACATTTATGTCGCGTAAGTTAACGTTGAAAATAAAATTTGTGTTGCAAACATTGAAAACGACATACGTGAATACATAAATGGTTACAGATTGTTGGTTGTTATTCCATGGAATACAGTCGACAACGTGCTCATACCAGTTAATGTGAAGCAGATGAACCATTGGGTATTGATTGTTCTGTCATTAGTTGAACGACACATTCATGTATATGACTCATACAGAGAGCAGCGGGATATGATTCTTTTGTTATGGATAAAATTCAAAAGCTTACTCATGGCTTATGTCGATGTATTTGTCCATGCATTATGACGATAACATGGACGATACGCAAGATCTGAACATTTCATTCGATGTGACATACGTGTAAGATATACCTTAGCAACGATATGGTACAATGTATGTTAACAAAATTTTGTCATCATTCTATAAATTGATATAGCTCTACGAAATCAATTATTTAACAAATTATATATATGTGTACAGGCATTTGCGGAGTACTTGAAGGATGAAGAAGGCATTTCTGTTGAAATCGTTGATGCTTACTTACTTCATATTAAATACAGTGCACTCTTTGGGAATATGCTGCAAAGAAAATTGAAGATTGAGCTGTTAGCGATAATAAGGCATTGCCTAAGTTGAACATGATGCCATGCTCAGAAATGGACAGTAGTGAAATTGTCATGATCAACTAGTAGCCTATTTAAGTTTTTTATTTTAAGATGTTTCGAAACTACTATTTTGTTTTGGATATTATGTCTAGTCGTTTTTGTCTTAAAGTATTTTAATTAATCAAAAAGTGAATTTCTTTCTGGGCAATTAAGAATCGTTGACAGGTTCATTTTTGTATGCATATTCTTTGTATCTTATTTAACTATATTTATGTATATTAGTATTTAACTATATTTTTGTATGCATATTCGTGGTATCTTATTTAACTATATTTATTTATATTAGTATTTAACTATATTTTTGTATGCATATCCGTTGTATCTTATTTAACTATATTTATGTATATTAGTATTGCTAAATAGTAATTGCTCAAACGGTTTAGTCTTGTTTAGTCATTTTATCAAGAAATATCGGTAACATAACTTTATTCAGGATGAACTTATAATAGAATTTACTGTGGTTCCTAAATATCACATTGGTTATAACATGTTCATGTTTAAAGTTAAATCGAATAAAAAAACAGTTGCACGCAAATAAAATCACTTTTATTTAATTATTATATATTTACTTACTCAAAAGGTATATTCTAAATATATGGGTATGCATTCCTGTGTATTTTTAGTTAAATGTATTTTAGTTTTTACATTCATTGATTTTTTAGTTGACGTTTTTTCTAAGTTTTATTCAGTATTATGACATATCAATACCACATCTTTATTGACAACAAGAGAATAGAGTATGATGTATCACAATTTTTATTAAATTGATAAGAATATGATCGGATATGTCTTTAAATTAAATAAGCAATTATTATTTCAAAAGTTAATAATGGGAAGTTGCTCATTGTATGGATGTAAATAAGGACAGTGATTTATATTTAGAGTCAATTCCTTATTTAGTTTATTGTACTTAAAGATGTATTAGTGTATAAATAGAAAAATAAAAAATGTATACAAAATACAGCGAAAAAAAGATATAAAATGTAGTCATTTATTGTAGGGCAAATCACAGAAATCACATACTTTTAAGGTAAAATTACAATCTATCCCTTAAAAGTTTATAATTACAGAAATTCCTCAAACGGATACAATAATATAAGTGCTGATACATTAATATGATGCGCGAGATACATTAATTGTTAAGTAAGATACATTACATTTTATACATGATACACTAATCTGATGCGCGATACACAATAATATAAGCATTGATACATTAATCTGATGCGCGAGATACACTAATCTGATGCGCGAAAATGGGGATTTTGGAGATTTGTAAAACTTATAAGGGATAATGGTAATAAGTAAACTAAAAGGTGAATTTCTGTAATTTTTCCTTTATTGTAATTAACATACTTGTAGCTATTGAACTTCAATAACTCTATAAATATAGTCATTTTTGTAAGTTGCTCTAGTTTAAATCCGAGGCCCAAATAAAGTGAACTGGCCCAAAAGAATTTGAGCAACCAATATTGTACCTCTGGATAACGGTTTCTATCAAACTTCGTGTGAAGCAGAGAGTTTCCGATGGTGGTTATCCCAACGGTCACCGGATTATCAACCGGCGCACGCTTACTATCGGTGCCGCGCACGATAGCCACAGCTGCTAGAGCTTCGCCTTCTTCTCTTCCCTCGCTCTGTTACTTGAAGAAGAGCTATTACTCTCCGCAACGCCGGAGTGTTCTGCCGGCAAGGAAGCTTGTGATACGAGCTGCAAGAACAGAGTCCAAAGGCGTCTCTCTTGGTTTCAGAGCTCCCAATTTTGAGGTCTTCCTTTTACTTTCTTAAGTAATGTTTGAAAACGAAGAATTTTGTTAGTAGTAATTTGAGATTTTTAATGGGAGAAATGTTTCAGCTTACGGAGCCGCTCACTGGTAAAGTTTGGAACCTTGATGATTTTGAAGCATATCCTGCATTGCTGGTAAATAGAACAATACTATTTTCTTTACTACTCCCGTTTACCCACCTTAGGTGGATTAATTTGATTTTACTGATAACATTTTGAATTTCTGAAGTGATATTTGACCTCAATCTTCCATGTTCAAGATGTTAGGATCGGGAACCGACTAGTACGGAATGTTGCTTAAGAGAGTTATAATGACAATAATAAAGACAATGCAAGTTGATCATAACGGTATGTAAAGCAAATAAAGTTTACAAATTTAACATTGTGATCTTTATTGTCATTATAACACTCCTTGGCTAAATTCCACACTAACCTGGTTCCCGATCCTAATTAAATCCAAAAGTATGGTTGAATGCAATTACTCATGTTTAGAATGGTTGGCATACATGAGTAATGAGTATTTTTTGTTTACAGAAATGGGAAGGATGTGTTGGATTTTGAATTTTGAATTTAATTTTGTAAGTGAGAGAATTTCTTTTTGAAACGTAAAGGGCAATTTTATTCACAAAGCTGCAGCACCAAGGAGGTGCTGTGTGTGTTCAAAGGAATTTGCTATACTTAAAAAATTCCTTATGTATGTATGTATGTATGGAATGAGTTCAAGAAATCTGGCTATATCCATGTAGTCACAAAGCAAAACTTGCACCAAAATTTTCAAGCTTTGCATGCATCTGAAGTTATCAATAGTAAATACGTTTTCCCTTCAAAACACCAGTCATTTCGTTCTATCCATATTATTCAAAGTATACAAAGAGGAACAGTCTTCTAGAGTTTTTTCTGCTTTCTCCTTAGCTTCTGCACTGCCAACTAGGCACAACTTGTGTCAGGTTCCCTTGGTGTACCTAATTCATACAATACATACTCAAAAATACCCACCATATCAGCCAAATGTATTTATAGTGTAGTAAAATGTATCCAACTGATTCTGCGTCTTCCTTTAAGGAAAAAGGAAGGTGCATGCTACGTATAAGTCAGATTGTCCATCCAATGCATGCCACTGTAGTTGAGGATTTCGTTCTCAAGATCATCTTCCGTTGCCAATCTACAGTCTCTCCTTGTCCCTTCTCACAATAAGTAGTGACAACCTGACTTCACATAGTATTTTCCATCCTTCTTCACTGTCCATACGAGAGAAACTTTTTGAGCTTCATCCGAGTTAACTCCTAGTATCCCCAATAATGAGCCTCCAGGTTTTCGTGTGGGATATATGTGCTACACATTTATTTATTTTTTTGATGACAAGGGAAACCCGCAGCCGCTACCCTTTGGGTGCGCGCATAGGGTAAAACCCCCGCTCCTATGCAATAGCTCTCAAACCACATAGGAGAGGTAACCCGCACTAGGCAAGCTTGGTGCGACGAGCTCGACCTAGAAGGCAAACCTCTTGCTTTCGCTGGCAAAGGGTTTCGAACTTGAGACCTCCAACATGGAAGTCCCAAGCTCAAACCATTGGGCCACCCGAAGGGTTACGTGCTACACATTTTTTGATGGATACTTCACTAACTTTGGTGTGATGAATTTATTGGGGGTTCTTAAATTACTACAACAACAACAACATACCCAATGTAGTCCCATGACTGGGTCTGGGGAGGATAGAGTGTACACAGACCTTACCCCTACTTTGGGATGTAGATCTGTTTCTGATAGACCCTTAGCCCAAGAAAAAACATATCATTGCAAGTCAGAAAAGGAAATAATGGAAGTGAAGAAACCATGTCAAGATACTATAGAAAACAGAATAGAGTCATCTGTAAAAAGGACATGAAACAACGTTCAGAAAAAAAAAAAGGACATGAAACAACATAACAAAATTGAAGGGCAAGAAACTATAGGAGAAATACTATGATTACTAGTATAGAAGGATAAGCGAGAAAACACTCAACTACCCACTAAATTTCTACCCTAATTCGTATCCTCTACAACATTCTATCTAAGGTTATGTTCTCGGTAAGTTGCAACTGTTTCATGTCCTGTGTAATCACCTCTCTTCAATACTTCTTCAGTCTACCTCTACCTCTCCTGTTCTACCCTAATTCGTATCCTCTACAACATTCTATCTAAGGTTATGTTCTCGGTAAGTTGCAACTGTTTCATGTCCTGTGTAATCACCTCTCTTCAATACTTCTTCAGTCTACCTCTACCTCTCCTGAAGCAATCTATAACCAACCTCTCACATCTCCGTAATAAGCATCCACTTCATCTCCTCTTTACATGTATGAATCATTTCAGTCTCGCTTCTCACATCTTGTCCTTGATCGTGGTCACTCCCACCTTGTCCCAGATATGTTCATTTCTAATTCTATCTCTCCTAGTATGCCCACACATCCACCACAACATCCTTATTTCCGCAATTTTCATCTTCTAAAAGTGAGAGGTCTTGACTAGCCAACACTCCGCCCATACAACATAGTTGGTCTAACCACTTTGTAGAATTTACATTTAAGTTTTCGTGGCACTAATACGCCCAAATTACACTTCACTTAAGAAGTATAAGCGATCGTTGTCAAATAAAGAACCGTTAGGGTCGATCCCACGAGGAATATGGTCTAGACTTAGGCCAATTTACTGTTGATTGTAATTTTAGTCAGATTTTCTCCGTAAAAAGGGGGGTTTTGTAACATAAAAAGATTAATTGATTGATTTGAATAACAAGTAACCAAGTAAACATGATTCGCAGTTTTGTAAGATCAATATAAGATGAAACTAGGGTATATGATGTGTTCCCCACCAGTTCTTAACGCAGTAAAACCTATAACAGTAACCCTTATCTAATATTTGACATGCAGAGTCGGTAAGTTAGGTATCTCCTAAGTGATTGGTCATCCAAGTAGGGAATTTCACCACGCAACTTGGTTGGTCTACGGGCTTTACTAACCCTTATCCTTGACCCTAGATTAGCCCTCACATCTTTAGGTTAGGCTATTAGATAGCAGATTATCAACGCTAAATCTCCGTTGTTTAATCTCTTTTCCCATTCATTACTTCCTTGGTCGGGCAAGTTGGAATAAGGCGAGTTCTAATGTTGCGCACCGTTAAAAAACATTCAAAACGAAGAGATCAACAATACATGCATAAACACTATTCAAGGATTACTTAACTATTAGGTCTACTTTGTTAATTACTCATGGTTCCCACAACCTTAGTTGTGGATTTAGCTACTCATGCTTGTGTCATCACAATTCATAATATGTTTGATAAAATAAATTATGAACTTACAATTAGAGTAGATGAAGTCCGGAATCTTGAATTGACGAACAAAAAGCAATACTATAAACCAATAGTTCAAGAATTAAATGTACAAAACGTTTGCAAGTTAATTCTCAAAGCCAAAAGTAAAAGTATCATATTGTCTGACAACCCAAATACAAAAATTACAACTAATACGTATAGACATCAAATCCTAAATAAAGTAGGAAAAGAAAATCTAGAAAAATCGGTTTAGGCAGTCATTCCTATGGTTCATTCACGACTCATAGGAAGTCCTACGGTTCATAGGAACCATCCGTCAAACAACAACTTTAACTTCTCTTCTGAAGTTTTCTAGGTTTATGTTCTACGACCTGTAGAACTTAGCATGAACCGTCCTGTCATGTCGTCAACCAAGTATTGGAGCTTAACTCCTCTGAACTTTTCCACGACTCAATTGTACGGCTCGTAGAAGTTACTACAACTCGTCATCAGCTTCCGTCATTTTACACTTAGCCCTAATATGTTCTGCTTCATTCTACGGTACAATCTTACAGCTCGTAGCAAGGTCTACGGCTCGTAGGATGACTCGTCAAACACCAAACTGCTGTTTCTTCAACTCTTCTTATCCCCACTGCTCCAAAACCTATTTCCCTGCAAAATATAATCAAAAGACCATCAAATCTACTATCAAATGCTTAAGACACACGCAAAACTCCAAGTTTAAAGCATTAAAAGTACCGTAAATCCGCGGTACATCAGGCACCTTCTTATTACACATGACTCTGGACGCGATCCTCTATTTCATTTATCCTACACTAATACAATGTGTGACATCCTCGTCAATCTCCCTATTTTCTTGGATAATAAACCAAAGATACTTTGAAATTTTTCCTCATTTAGATGACCTGTGTATCAAGGATCACTTCTATGCTAGCTTCATGCGTCATGTCATTGAACTACACTCTAAGGGCTCGTTTGGTGTGAGGGATAATACCAAATAGTCCCGGGATTAAATTATAGTACTGCTTATTTTGTTGTTTGGTTGACAAGTTCGGGATAACTTATCCCGGGATTAATAATTAGTACCGGGATAAGTTATCCCTCTCCTTGGGTGGTATAGTAATCCCGAGATAACTTATCCCGGGATAAAATAGGTAAATGACAAAAATGTCTCTTTCAACCCTTTTGTTATATCACTTTTTACATTAATGAAGGGCATTTTTGTAAACAAATAAATTGTTCTTAAAATTTATTATTTTGAATACAACAAACCAAACACTCAATAAAAAATAATCCCAACACAACTTATCCCATCATAACTAATCCCAACATAACTTATCCCATCATAACTCATTTTCAAACCAAACGACCCCTAAGTATTTAGTCTTGGTCTTGCTCAACCTGAATCTTTTAGACTCCAGGGTCTTTCTCCAAACCTCCAGCTTAGGGTTAACTCCACCACAGGTTTTGTCAATTAGAACTATGTCATCCATAAATAACATACACCATAACACCTCACCTTGGATGTATCGCGTTATTACACACCAAGTCAAATAATAACAAGCTGAAAACTGATCCCTGGAAAAAACCTGTCACACCTGGGAAGTGCTCCAAGTCTCCACCCACTGTCCTTACCTGGGTCTTGACTCCATCATATATGTCCTTGATTTCCCTAGTGTACGCAACAGGTAGGCTAACAACTCCATACAACCTCTCTAGGAACTTTGTCATAGGTTTTTTCTAGATCGATGAACACTATGTGGATGTTCTTCTTGCTCTCCCTATACCGCTCCACTAACCTCCTCACAAGACGAATGCCTTTTGTTGTTGAATGTCCCAGCATGAATCTGAACTAGTTTTCTAAAATAGACACCCCTCTTCTCACCCTCTTCTCCACTACCCTCTTCCAAGCTTTCATAATTGCTTAGCAACTTGATATCCCTATAGTTGTTGCAATTTTGAATAGTCACTCTTGTTCTTGTACTACAGAATCATTGTACTCCACTTCCATTCTTCGGGCATTTTCATCATCTTGAAAGCAACATTAAACAGTCTAGTCAGCCAATCCATTCCTGTCCTACCTGCATTCTTCCAAAATTTCACTGGGATCTCGTCTAGCTTCCAAAGTTCCACCTGGATCTCGTTTGTCCCAGTTTCTCTTCCCCTGTGCATCCTATGAATAACACTCTTAACCTCCTCAACCTTTATACACCAACTATTCCCAAAATCATAACTCTTCTCTGTGTGCTCCAAATCCCCCAACTCAATGCCTATCCCCCCTCTTTGTTCAAGAATCTATGAAAGTATGACTGACTTCTCCGTATAATGAGTGCCTCCTCCACCAGAATTTTGTTGTCCTTGTCCTTGATGCACTTCACTTGATCTAGGTCACGAGACCTCCTCTCTCTCGCCTTGGCTAGTCTGTACAACTTCTTATCCCCGCCTTTGCCTTTTAGTTCTACATACAACTTACAAGCATTCAAAAGCTTGTATTATTAAGGGGGGAGTTTGTTTCTTGATCTTTGTCCAGAGGCAGATGTACAGTTCTGGCTATGGGTTCGTCCGAACCCAATAGCTTTGACCTAAACCCTGTGTTTGTCTTATGCCTGCACAATGTTTAACTAAAAATTAGAAACTTTATTATGTTGAGCCAAAAGTTGAAAAAAGAACTAAAGAATCATGGATTTTCTGTCCCTCTTCTTTATTAACGTGTGTTTACTGTGATTCATCTCTGATTATTTTAATTTGTAGGTTATGTTCATCTGCAACCATTGTCCATTTGTCATACATTTGAAGAAGGATATTGTTAAACTCTCAAATTTCTACATGAAGGTAAGTAGAAAGCTGATTTCATTTTCCTTCTTTTCTGATTTCACGCATTACATGCTCTCTCTGCTTGCTGTCAGCTCAGTTGTTGAAAAGAACAGAATAACATCAAGAAGTTCATCTTTGCTGCAGAAAGGGCTTGCTGTGGTAGCAATATCTTCAAACTCTGTAGTTACACATCCACAGGTTGAGATACTTTATAACTTATGATCTCTTGATTTTGTGAGACTATTATGTGATTTTGTTGTGAGTTTCTCTATTTTTCACAGGATGGACCTGAATTCATGGCTGAAGATGCTAAGTTCTTCAAATATCCTTTCCCTTATCTTTATGATGAGGTTTGCTTTTATACCGAGTTCTTGATGATAGTTTTCAATTAAATTGCTTGTGTTTTATTACTCCGATATGCTCTTGCACTATGTTGTCACCTGTGGTATCTTTTCTGGTGGATTTTTCCATTTGTGATGCTGTTTTCTCTTAGCTTAGTCTTTGTATATATCACATTCACTTTCTTCCCATTTACTTTTTCATTTTCTATTGAAATTTTTGGTTGCACAAGAGTCTGGCTAGACTCAGATGTTCACCAGTCCACTATTAACCCTTATTTCTCCCCTATATCTTTCTACAAGATTGGTCCAGTTCCATTGAGAAAATGGACTAATCTAGCTTACTTTCATACTGTTTTTACCTCCTCTGCCAAATTGCTTTTAACTACACATTCCTGAAGTTTAGTTAGGTCAACCGTGACAAGAACAGGATGCTAATAAGTCAATGAATAAGGTAAAAAGTAATCATACCCAAAGGCGAATCCAGGGATTGATTTTGATGGTTTCAGCTTCTAGGTTCTTAACATTGAATCCTTGCACATATAAATTTTAGTGATTTTCTTACATATATATTCTGTGCTCCATGTGAAAATGTTAGATTCAGTTAAACCAAGTAGTTGTATGCTACATGCGCCTTTTCCTCTTCCTCCTTGAGGCTGCAATTATGTAAACTATGCCGTAGAAGTACAATTGTGGAGTTGTTATGGTTGGTAAAAAATCTTCCAAATTGCATTTTATTTTGTAATCATGAACTGTTGTACAAAGATGAGGTGTTCAATACACTACATGACATGTATGCAGTAGTTATATTGTCTGTTTCTTATGTTTTTATTTGAAATATTATAGAATCTGTTTCGTATCGAACTTCTTCAGCTTCGTTTTTCTTGTAGTCACAAGAAGTGGCAAGAGATTTTGGGGCTGTGTGTACACCAGAATTTTTCCTATTCAAAAAGGTAATACTACATGAGTTATATCTGAAAGCTTCAAGGTCAGCACTCAACATGACACACTGCGCCCCTGCTTTGCGATTTGCATGCTTTTCTGCCCCTTGTTTCTTTCCCTACATTATACGTTATCCACCTTATGGATGTAATTACCCCCTTGTTTGCTATCTGTTCAGCCACAATTTGTCGCTGTGTATCTCAGTTCTTACTGGGAGTGATTTGGGTTCCTCTTATTTCTTTCATCCCAAGTTAATACTCCCTCCGTCCCTTTTTAGTTGTCCACTTTAGAAATGGCACACAGATTAAGGCAACAATGATTAGCACAGTGAAGTTACAATTTTACCCTTATGACAACTTTTCACTTCAAAATTACAACCACTTATTTGAATTCAAGTGAAATAAATTGGAGGGAAACAACATACACTTTTACAATTTTCAAGAAGTGTAAATAAGGGTATAATAGGAAAAAATTTGTTGTCCTTTCTTGATTTGTCAAAATGGACAACTAAATAGGGACAACTAAAAAAGGAAATATGGACAAGTAAATAGGGACGGAGGGAGTAATACTTAACATATTCTCGAAGCCTCTATAAAAATATTCTCAAAAGAGTTGTAAGCAATCTTGCTTTTTATTATTGTGGAATTATTTACAGATTTGATATTTCATCTTATGTCAGGATGGCAGAAGGCCCTTTGAGCTAGTGTATCATGGACAATTTGATGATTCAAGGCCAAGTAACAATGTGCCTGTCACGGGAAGGTTAATTACATTGTCTGCTCAATTTTCCCTCAAGAATCGATTGTATTGTGAATTCCTAATGTAGTTGTTATGATACATCCTATAGGGACTTAAGTCTAGCGATAGATTGTGTACTTAGTGGCCAGCCAGTTTCATCAACTCAAAAACCCAGGTATTCTTATTTCCATTTGAAAAGTATTTCTGGTTTTCTTCCTTGAAAAGCCTTAATGGAAATGGGTGGGTAAAGTTGTGCACTAAATTTATTTTTGTACTTTCTACTAGCATTGGTTGCAGTATAAAATGGAATCCAGGGGGGAAGCAGTAAGCATCATCTCTCAGCTGTCTATGAGTTTTTTCCAGCCACACATGTAAGTGCATCAGATTATCCACGTAGCGGCTGATGACTGTTGGAGTACTGGCACATTTGCGTTATTTTTGCTATGCCTCTTCTAGCATTGTGAATTGAGCTTTGATCTCAAAGCTATAATTAGAAGAACTAAGATTCTTTGATATGCCAATCACCACACTTCATGTATATGTTACTTATGTTGTATTTCCTTGCAAAACCCAGGGTTTTACATTGTATGTGCTGTCCTTACTTATGCAAGGGTTGAACTACTAATTTTGTAAGATTTAATGCTGGATCGTGGAATATGTTCCGAAAGGAGCCAAAAATAAAAGAAATTGTTGCCAAATGGAGCAATATGCTACCACACACTTGTAGCCGATTGCAAAAGTATGAGCCAATTACTAATTTTGGTTCTCTTTGATATTGGAAATTGACTTCTGTTCCTCCTAGAGATTTGTAAATACATTGTAATTTCATTCCTTCACACTTAACACTTTCTTAGCTTGTAATTCTCTAGTTTTTCTGGTAATCAAAGTAGATTCTTCTTTCTGCACGCCTTTTGCCTTTATCGTTTGTGCATATATGTCTGTGCCTACCCCCGCTGTACACTTGTCTGGGGGCTTGTGTAAAGCAAGCTCTCTTAGAGTGACTACTCTTCTGTGTAACTTTTCTTTTCTTCTTTTCGTTGTTGAAGCCAAGTGTATAGTCAACTTTCCTTCAACTTTTAACACGATATGAAGGGACACTTGATTGTTAGCTATCTGTCATGGAAACTCGACAGAGACCACAAAAGTCACACGGAATTCCATGTTATGTCATGTGACTAAATACTCGTTTTATACCCACTTATGTGCTATGTTTACTTCGGATATTCAAACGAGTGAGTATGAAAAAGTTATGATATATGTAAACGGTCACTTCCATTGCAGGAGTTACTTGTCCATCAAATTCGCCCTTACTTTTTTCTTCTGTGGGTTAACCAAACACCAATTATTGTTGAAACCTTATTTCACAAAAATTCTTACCAGGTTTGCTTATACCTTCTGTACTTACCACTGATAGAGGAAGGGCTTACCTCAGACCCTTCTCCACTTAAGATTGCTCTTAAATTGAACATGACACCCGTCACCCATCACCCGTCACTATACATAGGTAATAGCATGTCCCAATGCTATCTTCCTCGAAGTTACTGCTCAATATGATCTTGTTTTTTGGGATGACTTATCTTATTGTTGTTCAATCTGTATTGTGGGACGTTTATCTTTTTGCACTAACTTTTACATCTAAAACACATGGCTTTTAGTGATCAATATAGATCCTTGTATCTGCGTTCTTTTGTCCTTTACTCTTTGAGCACATGTCGGTTGTGTGACTTGTGTCTATCTTGCCTTGTATGTGTCTGTCTAGAGAATGAATGCCAAGTTGGATCAAGCACCCTCCCACTTTTACTATGATAAGATGGATAACAATGCTAGGATAGATGATTCATTGATTATATATAAAGAAACCAATATATAGCTTTAATACTTTTTTTATCACAAGTCATGTTTAAAGCAGATTTTCTATAAAGTTATGGTTTATATCATCCAAATGTACATTCTACGCTGATGCAGCAGTATCATGGATAAAACATAAACCTAAATGTTTCTTTAGTACTTATGGTGCTGATTGTCATGATGTTTACATATCTTTTAAACTTGTCATTACAATCATCCACAAGTTCAATTTATTGTGATGTGCCTTTATCTTGACCAAGTAAATCATATATATGGTACTGTTTTCATTGGATAGAGTGGTGTTCTCTTTTAGATGCTTATCAATATACAAGATTCTTACCTACCTATTAGGTATTTGCAACAGATTTTTAGTATTTAATTTAGCAATAGAAGTTGTAAGTAGTTTTTGTTATTTTTTTGGAATCAGTGCTAGTAACCCACAAATACCAATTATTACTTAAAACTTTATTTAATACTAGAAAAATTCTCACTAAGTAAAGAAAAAACAAGAAAACAGGCTCCAATTTAGTGATTAAATTATTCATTTTGCATTCCTTCATTCTTTGCACCTCTTCTACATCTAGCTAACACACTTGTTTTTTAGTGATCACTATATATCTTTGTATCTGCCAACCTTTGTCCTTTCCTCTTTCTGCACATGTCCATTGGTGTCTATATGTCTTGCCTTGTATGTGCCAGTCTGGGGTTGAAAGCCAAGTATTTTTTTTTTGATCAACTACACTCCAAATTTTACTATGATATAAGATGGATAACAAAATAAGGGAGATGATGCTTTACTGATTATACACAAAATAAAACACAAATTAAAGTATGAAATTTAGCTTTACTTAATACTTTATGTTGATAGCTAGTCATGTTTAAAGTGGATTTTGTTAAAGTTGATGGTTTAATTATGTCATCCAAATTTATATTCTATGTTGATGCATCAAGCACAAACTTAAATGTTACTTTGTGCTGATTGTCATGTACTCATGTTTACATATCTTTGCAACTTGTCATTACAATCATCCACAAGTTTCATTTTTGGGGACGTAACTTAATCTTGACTAAAGTACTCATATGGTACTTGTTTTCATTGGATAAAGTGGTGTTCTGTTTTAGTGGATGCTTATCAATATACAAGATTTTTACCTACCTATTAGTTAGTTATGTTGCTCGGACTCTTCAAAATCTTTGCCATATCCATGTCACGTACTGGATGTGGTATGTACCTTGGGTGCTTTGAGTACATATATATAAAGTATGAATATGATTTGCTATTACATATCTTATGAATATAAGTTTTAGGCGTTTATTAAGAATTAAATTTTATTAGATTTAGTTTAATAAATTTAATATATCAAAATATATACTGTATATTCCATAATATACAATTATTGGTTGTATCCCAGCATCCCTAGGAACCATACCCCTGAATACTAAAAATAATGTAATGAAGAATCCAACCTCTGGATCCGTAGCCATATTGGATACCGACACCAGAGTTCGAGCAATATAGCCTATTAGTATCCACTCCATTCTATTTGAATCTATTCATTGGATTACTCAATAACATCTTTTAAGTCAGGATTATTTTCAATTGTTGCTAATAAGTGATGGTAGAAAAATTATTCAAAAAAGAATTATTTTCATATTAGCAATGAGTAGTTATTAATCAAATGCTTGGAATAAGAAGAACCATTTGATTAATACCTTATATTCTCATAGAGGTTATAGAAAGTATCAACTTACATAATGCATACTTTGAAAATTGATGTATTACTGTAACCTACTTGTGGGCCTAAAAAAGGTTTGATATCACATGGCCTAAAATGCAATGTACCTTTCAAGAACATGGTGAGCTGATTCTTTTTCATCTTTTGTGAAAATGATTTGTAAAGAAATTGGTAGGGAATGATGGTCCCTTCCTTTCCCCATACTACATGATTCAGTTTACATAGTTCCAACAAAGATCTTGTCACAACCTTGCCTTTTTATCATCACCCCACAAGCTAGAGTTCAAGACAGATCTAAGATTTAAATTTAATGAGTTCAATTTTTTTTAAGATTCTCAATGTCGAACTCATTGTACTGTTAAAATTAGGGTGTCACATCTAATATTTGTTGAGAGTCTTGAAATTTTAGTTGATTTTTACATACGTATTTATATATTGCGTGTTGAAAGTTACGGATTTAGTTGAACCTGTAACCAAAAGGCTACATACACCCCTGGCAATCAGAGGCCCCAGTTTGGACTCTGAGACTGCTATTGCTGCTATACTTTCTATGGTTGATATTTGGTTCCTAATCTTTAATCATCACATATTTATGCTTCTCATTTAATCAATCATCACATAATAATATTGGTTTACTGTCATTTTAATGAGGACAATTGTTCTTGTACTTTTACTCTCTTAATTTTTACTTCATCATTATAAGCTAAATTAGCTGTTTTTTGGAAATGTTAAGTCTAATGATCTGGGAGATATTGCCCTCTTTTCTTGCATTTGTTTAATTGAATAGTTGTAGGGATCACTTTTTGACATTTCTTCTAGGGTAGTTGCACAAATTGGAAGGAAAAATAAAATGATCCTTCTTCATTTATACTACAATAACGAATTTAGTTTGTCAAAACGACTTATAGTCGGGACTAGAAAGAGTAATGTTCTTATTTTGTGAAATGAATATTGATAATCTATACATCCTTATTAGTTACTTGAAAGAATCAACTAGTTAGAACTAGAGAGAGGCTAAGTTAACTAGAGTTACTGAGGAGGGGATCTGATGAGAGGTTGAGATGAACCAGAGAAACTAGGACAACTAATTGCTTCTTTAGGATTCGGTACCACTCCTCGATTAGGCTTCTCAAGATCTTCATTTTCGTGCCTGATTTCCATTAGCATTGCTGCTACATCCTTCATTGTTGGTCTTTCATTCGCGCATGGGTTAACACAAAGTAGTGCCACCCCAAGAACTTGAAGCATCTCCTGAGTTTGTGTACCAGACCTTAAAAGTAATTGCTGATCAAGAATTGTTGTGAATTCCTTATGTTTTACTCTTAGCTCCTGATTGACCCAAGTGACAATGTGGGTGCCTTCTGGTATCCGGGAATCAGTTGGTTCCATCCCCGTTAGGACCTCGAGAAGCACAATGCCATAGCTATAGACATCACTCTTCTCAGTTATTCTTAGACTATATCCATATTCTGCAATGTAGGACCAAAACATTTAGAATGCTGTCCAAACATAGTATATATACCTACTATATGTCTTGCACAGCGAATTTCACGGGGTACAAGACTAATATAGTGAACTTCAAGTGTTTTTTTAAAGCTAATATTCAATAGTACTAGCATAATCATGTTATCAAAATGTTGAGCACTTAATAAATATTTGAATATATAGGGCGGAAATTTGAGGAAATGTACTCACCCGGAGCTATATACCCATAGGAACCAGCTATTATGGTGGAAGCTCTTGAAGTATCTGATGATGTGTTTAATAGCTTTGCAAGTCCAAAATCTGCAAGAAAAGCTTCAAACTGTGGACCTACCAAAATGTTATTGGTTTTGATATCGCGATGGACTATAGGAGGACTACAGTCATGGTGAAGATAAGCTAAGCCCTGAGCTGCTCCTAATATGATATTAAACCTAGCATCCCAATCCAGAAATACCCTCTTCTCATGGAGAAGTCCCGATAAACTCCCGTTACTAATGTAATCAAACAACAACAATCTTGTTTTGCCATTATTACAACATCCAAGAAGCCTCACTATGTTTTTATGCCTGATTGATCCCAGTGTTCTAACTTCTGCAGAAAAAAAGTCCCTCTGAGGAACCTCACCGATTTTCTTAGCCAATAGTTTCTTCACTGCGATCACCTGTCCTGATGGAGTCTCAACGCGATAAACAAAGCTTGAGCAGCCCTTTCCAACAATGTTAGATTCACTAAGTCTTGGCACTACATCAGTTACAGAGAAGCTAAGCTTTCGGAATGGGGTGAATTCCCACTGCAAACCATTTTCTTCGTCGTCCTTCTGACATATCTCTCCCTGTGTTCGGATAAAGATGGCAATAGAAGCTGTCACAATTAGCATGGTCATGAAAATGCTGAGTACAATAGCAATGGTGATCTTCTTTATGGATTTTAATCCATGGTGATCACCACTTAAGTGGCATGCAGCTCTGTCAGTGCAGAGCTCTTGATTACCAATAAAAGTGCTAGGAGGGAGACTTTGAAAGAATTTTGTGTTAGGAAGAACACCAGAAAAGTTATTGTATGAAACATTCAGAGAAACAAGGTTATCAAGGTTACTGAGTACTCTAAGACTTCCAGTCAACATGTTATGAGAAATATCCATGTTGGCTAGCTTGGAGAGGTTAGAGAAGCTTTCAGGAATCTGTCCGGTCAGAAAATTACGACTTACATTGAACAGAATATCTAGTCCTTGAAGGTTACCAATCTCTTCAGGGATTAAGCCCGCGAGTCTGTTGCTGCTTAAATCCAACAACTGCAAATCCTGGCAGAGTTCAAGTGATTTAGGAACTGTTCCGTCTATGTTGTTTCCATTCAGTATGAGTTTGTTCAGTAATATGAGTTTCCCTATATCTTCTGGAATGTTACCTGATATTCTGTTCATGGATAGGTCTAATATATTAAGACCAGTGAGGGACACAAAAGAGGAAGGAACTGTTCCTTGAAGATTGTTTCCATGAAGATCAACCATTTCTAGCTGCGGACAGTTGCCAATAGCTGGAGGGATTGATCCAGTGAATTGATTTTCCGACAGTTCAAGATAACTCAAACTCGGTAGACTCCCTATTTCTGGAGGAATTGGACCATCTAACCTGTTTGATCCAAGGCGTAATCTGGATAAGCTGGTGCAATTTCCAATATCAGGTGGAATTCCACCGGACAGAACATTTGATATCAGCAGCAGCTTAGTCAAGTTCCTGAGATTGAATAAAGTGTTTGGGATGGACCCTGTAAGGAATTGTGAGAAAGATCCAAAGACTGAAGTTTCCGACAATCTGCTAGCTCAGTCGGTATGCTCCCGTGAAGTTGATTCTGCCAAGCGAAAAACAGATTTAGCTCCTTTAGTTTCCCAATGGTAGGTGGAATCACACCTGAAATGTTGTTGTTGTCCAATTCAAGCTGCTTCAAGCTGGAAAAGTTGCCAATATAGTATGGGATTTCTCCAGAAATGCTGTTTTCTGATAATAGAAGCTCCTCCAATGTGCCTAAATTCTCGAAAGATGGAGGGATTTCACCATATAGATAGTTCACAGAGAAATCAATCACTTTCAAACTTGAACAGTTTCCAAGATTTCCTGGAATTTCCCCCGTCAGATTGTTCTTCCAAAGCAAAACCTTCTTAAGATTCTTCAAGAGACCGAGTTCACTTGGAATTTCTCCTGTAATTTGATTCTCATAGACAAACAATTCTTCTAAAGAAGTGCAATTCCCAATTTCTGGAGGGATTTCACCAGTCAAATTAGCTGTGTAAACAGCAAGAGTCTGCAGCTTCTTGAGTTCACCTATACTATGTGGAATCTGACCCGTAACACCGGTATCTGCAAGACCCAAAATGATCAACTCTTTGCAGCTTGATATCTGCATTGGGATTTCTCCTTGAATTCCCACGTTCCCACCAGCACGAAAGATTTCAAGACTCGTTAACTGACCGATCTCTTCAGGTATCTTTCCAGAAAACTGATTGTCAAAGAGCTCAAGCTGCTGCAATTCAGAACATCTTCCTATCTCCTTTGGTATCTGACCTTCAAAGAAATTAGAACTCAACAAAAGTTGCTTCAGCTGTGATAATCTTCCTATTTCAGGTGGAATACTTCCTGTTAGAGCATTGAAACTGAGATCCAAAATCCTCAGAGACGATGACAAGTTTCCAATAAAAGCAGGAATTTCACCAGTGAGGTTACAATTTGATAAAATTAGCACTTCCAGAAAGTGAAAAGAAAGAACTTGACTTGGGAATATCGCGGGAAGATTGATCGACCTGATCTTGATATCTGAAACAAATCCATTACTGGTGCATTGGATATAATCCCATTTGCATGGATTTTCATGACTTGGATTCCATGAAGAGAAAGGTGCAACAGAAGCAGAAGAGTTAATAGTGGAAAGCCATGACATTAAAGAAACCCCTTCTTGATTTAAACCAGAAATGGATGTTGGGAATAAAAAAGATATGTTGAAAAACAAGAAGAATAAGATGACTGTTAGTTTGCCTGACATGATTATGATGACAATGAGGGTGTGTATGTACTCTCTGATCTACTGTACTTCTATTTCAGTTGCACCAAATATAGTCATAAGAGGTTATCTGCAATGATTTCTTTATCATGGTTTACTGGTGTTGGAAATGCACAACAGAGAATTTTATGTAAAAGAAAGGAAACAAATGGAATTTTCAGAAATCTTGATTTTCCTCCAAATATATCTGTCTTCAATTAGATTCATTGTCAAGATTGACACTTGACACAGTGTTGTAGGACAGGGTTGGCCATAGGGGGTATTATTGCTGTGATGGTTTGGAAGATTTTGTTTGTACTAATATGCCTTCTGGCTGGTTCTATGTCTATATGTAGGGGCCGAGGCAGAGGGGTCCAATTGAACGCCTTTGTTGAAATAGTATACTATATAAATAGGATAAAAATGATTTTATATGTATATATATAAAAGGGTCAAAATTGCCCCTGAACTATGCGAAATAGACCACATATACCCTCCATTACATTTTGGGATAAAAAATACCCCGTCGTTATCCCAGGAGACCACAATTACCCTCAAGAGTTAACACTCCAAATTTTTAGTGACGTGGCAAGCCACATGAGACTAATCCCTCCACCCAAGCGTTGCCAACTAAAATTCACTACAAAAGAACTTGACCTTTGTCGCCACAAATTCCCAAAATATTGCCACTAAAGGTTATGAATGATTTTTAGTGGCGACTAAGGCTCCAACAACCATTCGCTAGTAAAACCTATTTTTTCAACAAAAATATATGATAATTAATTATCAATTGCAACCTAATTTTCTAAATAAATGACTTGCAATATCAATATTAAAAAAATGCAATATTATTACGAAAAATCATCAAAATTACTTCTCAATTCAAATCTCCTATTATATAATGCATCATTGTACATTTTATACATTTACATATGACATAAAAATAAAACATACAGTGTCTTCAAACTCCTACTTAATCGATATCATTTTTTGTTTTTTAAAAACAATGAAGAAAAAAACACAAAATTAAAATTTAATATTATAAACTTTTAGTGACGATTTTCTGGGCTTTTGTGGCGATTGTTGTTGCCGGTAAATGTCTAGTTCTTTTGTAGTGAATCCTAGTTGGCAACACTAGGTGGAAGGATTAGTCCCACGTGGCTTGCCACGTCAATAAAAATTTGGGGTGTTAACTCTTGAGGGTATTTGTGGTCTCTTAGGATAACAACAGGGGCATTTTTTATCCCAAAATGTAACGAAGGATATAAATGGTCTATTTCACATAATTCAGGGGCAATTTTGACCCTTTTCCGTATTTATAAATCCTTTAGCACAAGATTTAATTTTTTTGAGCTCTCTTGTTTGAATTTCTAACTCCGCCACCTATGTGATAAAGTTCTTTTGTCTCAACACATGGCTACTTTTGTCATTACACCCTTCATTTCTTCTTTTTTGTTGGCCCCCACCCCACGCTTCTGATTTCTTCTCTAAGAAATATCTAATCTCCTTATATAAAAGAGTGTTATGGAAACTTTTTAACTTTTGTCTCAATTTCATGTTGGTAAATTGTATGTTGTTGTGTACAAGATTACTTCCTTCAGTATAAAAAATATAAGATGACTTTGACAAACTGAAGTTGTTTGCAAAAATATTTAAGATTTAGAAAAATAGATTAAGATGTTACTTAAAGACATGATAACTTGAAATGGAAAGGTGTCACCATCGTACTAGGGTGTTATGTGATAAATTTAAATGAAATAATATGATCATTGAAATAATAATAATTACGATAAAAGAGAGACAGTGATATACTTATACGTAAAATTGAAAATCATATACTTTTTGCCAACTACAGCAAAGACGTATTTGTCAGTACCGAAGGCCACAATTTAGAAAATAATTTGCTTGATTTTTTGATACTTTACTTTTTTGTGTCTTTTTCCTTAAGGCCCCCACTTCGGTGAGACAAGTGCTTAAGCACAACTAATCCTTTATTAAGGGGTTGAAAAGCCAAAAATCAGGATTATATCTTGAGTTGAAGTGTCTAATTACAATTACTAATGAGAAGGACAAGTCACCTCCATGAAGAGGTGCATTTTAGGGCATACCAATATTCTTGAGTTAAAATATATTGTAACCGAGCGGTTAAATATGTTATATACTCTCAATTTTTACGCTATATAACCATTCATCAAATATTATATTTTTTCTAAGAGGGTGTAATTATTTTTCAATCATTACAAGTAGTGTGTCTGTTGTGAAATTATTATCTTAAAGCATACTCCCTCTATCCTCTTTTTAATTGTCATGTTACCCTTTTCGAAAGTCAATTTGACTAATTTCAAAGTTAAATTAGATTACATTAATTCGATATTTAAACAAAAAAAATTAAATATTCAAAAACTATACGAAAAGTATTATAAATTCTAATTTTTTGTATATCAATATAATGAAAAAATATATCGTAAAATATTAGTAAGAGTTATCATAATTTGACTCTAAAAATTAGTGAAATTCCTTGTTGCATAAGTAACAATCTGCACGAATGGTGTAATGACTGCCCTGCTGTCTCCGACATGAATCCGGTGAAATTGAATTCTCTGTGATGATGCAGAGTATCAACGGTTAGACGGTAAGACTATGACGATTAAAAATGGACAGAGGTAGTATTATTTATAGGAAGTTGAAATGAAAGATACACCCGGATAACCATTCATTGCAAAATTTGCCCTTATCAAAATCAGTGCTCATTCAATTTAGAACCAAATAATATACAAAATCGGAGCTATAATTTCATATTCACATTTAGATTTAATCTACAAAAAGTCGATCATTGCATTGCATGCTTTATAGTTATGTAATCTCCATCTATCTTCTTATTAATTTTTATATTTCTTACTTTTAGTAGTTAGTAGTTTCCTTCTAATTTTCTTTGTGTATCGATTTTTTTCGAGAAATTTAACTTGAATCAAGTAATTTTAATTTTTTAGGGTAGTTCAAATTATTTTAGTAACAACTAGCAAAAATAAGAATGAAGAGTGAATTGCAATCATAAGGATCTTTTGACTTGTTTGATATCAACGTATTTAGATTTATGCTTAAAAAAAGAACCTTCATGTGTGTTTGAATGTTGAAATACAAGTGCAAATCTTCCGGAATGTTAACTCATGATAGTAATTCTATACATTCTCACATTTTGTAGTTCATGAATCACGATAACCTTTCTTGTCTTAGAGTAGAATGTATATAATTATAAGTACTTGGAGAAAATGCCTAAAATATATCATTCTTTTTATTGTGTTTGGACGTGAAAATACAGTTCAATTTTTTGTGAAATGAACTTCATGAAGCTTTTTTTTTTCCAGATGTGGCTAGTTTAATAACAAAAACTAATTCAAAATAATCTCCAACTATAATTTTAAATTTTTGAAACAAAACCTTACACACCATCTTCTTTGAATCTAGCTAACTCGTGAGATTTTACCGAATATATTATTGTTTCAATACTTGCTCATAATTTAACTTTAATAAATTTCATTTTCTAACTTTAAATTTAAACATTGCTTTCAAATTCAATTAAATTCAATTTAAATATACTAAACCTAGTAGAAGGTCACATATTTCATTCCTTATAACAAAATTTTTATTTCTATTAATATAATCTGTCAATTACCATATAATTACTACTTATAATTTGAATTTATCTTTTCCAAAAAATAGAAAGTAAAAACAAAGGGGAAGCGCGAGCTTTTTTCTGGGTGCACCAAAGTCAAGAACGAATCCCTTCAAAATTGTAATTCAAAAAAATGTTGATCCTTCCGTTGTCAGCTCCCAACGGATAGTCAATTCAAATCACCCCTCTTTTCCCGCATTTACTTGAAGATAACAACTTTCTTCTTCGTTTTCTTGAAGACGTTTTATATTAGAAGGAGGAGAAGACGACTACCCAGAAAAGGCGTTCCTCTGTGGCGAAGAGACAAGCAATGGCGGCTAAGAAACGGAAAATTGAATGCTGGAGCGGCTAAGAAACGACCGGTACTTTCTAATATCTCCAATCACACAACTGTCTCTACTCGATTTCTCATTCCTCCAAACTTGTGAGTCTTTCTATGTTTTTGATTACTGGTTTGATGATTCACTTTTTTGTTTGTTAGTTATGGGGTTTCTTGCGTTAATTTGTGTACGGAAGGAAAATGTAGGTGGATTTTGTGATTTTTTTTTTCTGGGGTTTTCTTTCTTGGATTAAATAAGTAAAATGGTTAATGTTAAGTGGGGTTTCGTGAAAAAATGATTGAGAAATCAAATAAGGGGTTTTGATATGCAAGGATTTGCGGGATTTCTTTTTTTTTTTGGGTCGAGATTGTGATATTTGGTAGTTGAATTCTTTGATTATTGACTTCCCCTGTATAAACAAGTTCACTGTTTTATCCTTTTAAAAAATATGTTTGGGTTAAGTATTCTTTTAATGGTTAAGAAGTATTATGAATGGAAAATTTGAAACATCTTCCCCCAATTCATTTTTGATGCACCATCTCATCTTGTCATTGATTCTGCATCATAACAAACCTATTCTTGGAGGCCTACCAATTGTGTCTATCATTTGAAGTGTAATCTACCAAGCTTCTTTCGATTGTTTTAGAAGTTCAGATTTTCATACCGTCTGCTTCTTTTGACAAAGCGAGTTAGGAGACTATTCCTCATTCTATTCAAATTGGAACGTGGTGGATGCATCCTAAATAAATACGTCACAAATTAGAGATTATTCCCCAAATCTATAAAACTGTTCCCTATCCTACAAACCTTTCTTGATTCTCTTTTTATACAATTTCCATGAGTGCTAGTGGAACGTTCAATACCTTTCTTCTTAACTATCTTGTAAAGGTCCAGTTGGGATAACCTTATATTAAACAAAAGAACTCCTCGAAATTTGGCAATGTGAGTGAATCGGTTACCTACTTGGCAGGTCATAATGACTTCTTACAACGGACATCATAGCGAGCAATTTCTCCTATGTTTGGATAAAATGGTCTTAAAAGATGAGACAAGTAGTACATACAA